TCCTCCGCCTCCTCTTTCTATGCTTTGGGCCAACTTTGAGCGAAGCTCGTAGCGTCGTCCTCTCCTCCTCCTCCTCCTCCTCCTCCTCCTCCTCCTCCTCCTTCTCCTTTTTGTTGCGTTGGGCAAACCCTGAGCGAAGCTCGTAGCGTCGTCCTCTCCTCCTCCTCCTCCTCCTCCTCCTCCTCCTCTTCCTCCTCCTCCTTCTCCTTTTTCTTTTTGTTGCGTTGGGCAAACCCTGAGCGAAGCTCGTGGCGTCGTCCTCCGCCTCCTCCTCCTCCTCCTCCTCCTCCCCCGCGGAGGATGAGGAAAGAGGGGAGGGGCGGGGGAGGGGTGAGAAGAAAGACGGAGAGGGAATCGAGGGACGGCAGTGGGGCGGGAGGAAGGGGAGAAACAGTCGAGGCAGGATGGGGAGGGAAGAGAGGAGATCAGAGACACGTGAGCCGAGGTAAGGAAACGAAGAGGAGGAATGACAGGGAGTGGAAATGATGAGGAGGGAGGAGATGTGAGTGAGTCTCTGTTCGCCGGAGGTCCAGTGCGGGGTCCACGCCAGGGCCAGCGTGTGGCGAAGGCAACGCCTGCGCGGCGCGAAACCATACCAAGGTTGGCGATGGCAACGACGTCGGCGACGACGATGATCAAGTTGATGATGCCTAACCGTGATTATTATGATGCTTCTGCTGATAATGCCGGAGAGGAAGCTGGATCTGAGTATGATGGTGCGGCTGGTGACGACCTATGCTGTCGGGCGCAAAGCACAGCTGTGCACTCCACGGCTGGGCCTCTCATGATAATTATGCTGCTGCTGCTGATGATGCTGCTGATGATGATGCTGCTGATGCGCGAACCTCCCACACGCTGAGATCGTCGTTGGGGATGCGGACGACGATGGCGACGATAGGGGGGAGGGGTTCGAGGGAACTCGGCCCTGGGCCTGGCGGGGGTATCTCGGGAACATGGACGTGTCGCACGGGCCGGACAGGCTGGGCCTGATCGGGGGCTCGAGCTCGTGGAGCGCGCCGAAGTCGAGGCCCTTGAAGAGGGGTTCCTGCCAGAGGGGGGAGGGGGAGGGGAGGAGAGCCCCCTCGTCGTTCAAGCACCACGAAAGCGGCTCTGTATACTTTTCGGCCTCTGTGGGCCCTCCCTCACCGAGCCCCAGGGACCGTTCACAGACGAGTCGGGATGATGAAAGAATGGTCCCGAGGAAAGGGGTCCAAACCTCGGAGTTATCCATGTTGTAAACCAAGCCGCAAGGTGATGCGGGCGGGAGGAGGGGAGAGGGGAGGTGCGGGTGAAGGGGAGGTGTGGAAAGGGGGAAGGAGAGGAGAAGGAGGAGGAGGAGGAGGAGGAGGAGGAGGAGGAGGAGAGAGGAGGAGGAGGAGGAGGAGGAGGAGGAGGGGGAGGGGGAGATGATGGATGAGGATGAGGATGAGATGAGGAGGAGGAGGAGGAGGAGGAGGAGGACGGGGGGATGCTGGGGGTGGGAGGGAGAAGGGGGGGGCGGCGGGGCGGGGGGAGGTGGAGGTTTGGGGTGGGGGGACGAGCTCGTCAACGCACCCCAAGGGCCCTCGCAGCCTTCAAATCCACCACCCGTGGCCTTCCAGGATGTCCACGATGCCTTCGAAGATGGCTCAAGTAGGCTCCAAAACGCCAGAGGGGCCTCGACACAATCCAATCTGGCCTCAAAACGGCCACAGAGTTTCACAAGACGCCCCAAGAGGACCCCAGCAGAACCCCGAAAGTTCCTCAAGAGGCGAATGCTGATTCTTTTTCGTTTGTTTTCCGATATTATCGCGTTCTCGCCACTTCTACAAGCCCAAGGCGGCCCGCCAGGCCCACGCCCACAGACCGCTCGATGACGGCAAAGAGTCCCCCAAGTGGGCCCGGAGACGGCTCACGAGGGCCCCTAAAGATGCCCCCCGATGCGGCCCCCCAAAGCGCTCGGGAGGGCACGGGGAAGACACCAAGAGGGAGAGCTCCTCCTCCTCCTCCTCCTCCCAATCCTTGTTGCCCTCCTCCTCCTCCTCCTCCTCCTCCTCCTCCTCCTCCTCCTCCTCCTCGTGGGGGGCCCGGGAGCTCTCCCCCGAAGCGTGCCCCGAGAAGCCCCCAGAGATGGCCCCCCCCAAAAGCCCGCGGGAGGCACTGCGACAAGCGTAGAGGAGGAGGACGACGGACCAGCAGCAGCCGCGCGGACGCAGCACGACGGGACGCGGCACAAAACCTTCCACAAGAAACCTTCCACAAGAAACCTTCCATAAGAAACTTTCGACAAGAGAGCTTCCGCAAACAACCCCACCTTGAGACTCCAGGACGTCCATTGGTTTTTGGTGTGGGAACGTGACGTTTTCCATGCAAAACTATCGAAACCCAAGAAACCCAGGGCACCCTGGAGGCATGCAGGGTCTTTCTTGGCAAGGCCCCCCACTGTACGCGGACGCAGCACGACGGGACGCGGCACAAAACATCTACGACATCGAAGCTGCACATATGCTCTTCTGAGGGGCGGCGGGATGGCGTAAGCCTCTTGAGTTCGAAGGAGGGGGAGGAAGGGTGGGGGACTGGGAGGGAGGAAAGTGGAAGCAGCGGGGAGTGGGCGGGTTAGGAGGATTCCGTTTCGGGCGCTACGATCCCTGCGTAGGGCGTCGGCCCGCAGGCGCTTGCCGCGGGGGCAGATCAGCCTCTCGAAGATGCGTCTCATCTCGTTGGTGAGCAGGCCCTTCTGCTGGGCCCTTCTCAAGTTCGTGTCCAGGACGCGCTCGTACTTTCCCATGACGTTCTCCTTCAGCCACTTGAAAGCTTCCTCGCCCTGGAGATCCCCCGCATGCCAGAGAGTGCGACCGTAGAGGCACTCGAAAGCCACGACTCCCAACGCCCAGAGGTCGCTGGCCGGACTAAACGCTGCTGCACCGTCGAAGAAAATCTCGGCAGCCAAGTACGGTGGGGAACCGCAGAGGTCTCTCTTCTTGCTCGCCTGGCCGACACAAAGGCCAAAATCGAGCAACTTCAGATGCCCTTCCCGTGATAGCACGATGTTCTCCGACTTGATGTCGCGATGGACGAACCTTGGCCGTGCGCCAACGGGTGCGGGGCGACGCCGGCCTTCCGAATAGGAAAGGGGGACTCTCAGAAGGGATCGGAGGCTTCTGCCCGAGAGCCCCCTCTGCTTTCTCAGAAGGCAGCCACCCCTGCCCTGCCCCCGTCTTGCGCGGCACCGAGAGCCCGGACTTGTGTACGGTGTCCAGCGCCTCGAGCAGTTCCGCGGTGTAGAAGACTACCTCGTCGTGGGTGAAGCGCCCGTACTCGTCGTCGCCAGGCCCACTCCTCCTTTTCAGATGGCCCCATAGGTCCCCACCCTGGACGAACTCCATGACCATGTACACGTAGTCGCGGTCCTGGAACGTTCCGAACAGTTCCACGATCCACTCGTTCCTGGCCTCTAGCTGTACGTCCCTTTCGGTGTATGCGCCTTGCACGACCTCTCTGGCGTTGCGGTGGTTCTTCCTCTTGTAATTATCCTTCTTCATTTGCTTCAAGGCCATGAGCTTCTGCGACTCGCGGGACCGGACCAGATGCACAGTGCCGAACCCGCCCTTGCCGAGCACCTGCAGCTGCTCGAAGTCCGCCGTTGTCCATCTCCTCCTGGACCCACGCACCAACTCATTTTCGAACTCCTGGAACCTCTGCAAGGCCTCGTGCTGTTCCTCCTCTTCCAGTGACTTCACGTGGCTGTCTGCGGCTGCGTAGCGCTCCGCCCTGAGCCTCGTGGTGGCCTCAATGGAGTTTTTCCTGGCCCCGACCGCTTCCCTGAAGTTGTCCAACACCTTTGGGCTGCCCTCTTATACGATTTGCTCACTGCGCATACTACTCTCCCCTCTCGCCTGACCATTGTGCCAGCGTGCAGCCGCCTCTATCTCACTAATCATAATACACAGGACTTCGCACACTGAAATGCAGCATGCGATACGTCATCTGCGATCGTGAGGCAGTCGGACCTTCGAGCATGCTGTTCCTGATGCAGTCGGACTTCATTGGACAGGACACGCGAGAGGACACAAGACCCTTCCGAGGGCCACACGGCCGTAGGCATGCAGGAGGCACGGGTCGCGAGACACAGGACACAAGGGTACCCTTGACTTGGCGGGGTCGACCTACACATCACGGCCGACTGTACAACGCTGGCCACATTTTAGGATCCTCGCCGTGCTCCTGTCATGGCATTCTCGCCTCCACGCATGGGATGCACAAAGACGTACTAGTACTATATGTCCTCCTTGGACGCGCGCGTCCGACCCGAACATATAGTATACCCATCTTGTAGTATATCGTTTCCCGAGCGGTGTGGCCAGAATGCGCCCGCCACGACGCATATACTATAAGATTCCTCGGTGCGCGCGTCGCCCCTGGGAGGGCGACGCACATATAGTATAAGTATGTTGGGGTGCTGCCGAACGCAGGCCCCATTTCTGGATCCGATTCGTCCCCGTCGTTGCCGCCCCCCCTTTCTCCGCCTCCGCCCTCCGCAGATGTTCCAGCTCCTCCTGCTCCTCCTGTTCCTCCTGCTTCGGCTGCCGGTGCTCCTCCTCCACAGTGGTCCTCATCCTCCTCCGTCTCCTGCTCCTGCTCTTCTTCCCAATCCTCCCCCTCCTTCTCCAAGGTACGGGAGCAACCCCCCCTCTCTTTCCGACTACGCAGCTGCTGACGGGTCAAATCCTGCAGCTGCTATTGCGGCGCCCGTGTCTTCCAGGACACCCAAGCCCGTGGGAAGAAAAACAGTTGACGCAGCGGAATGAAAATGGATGGGCAGGATGGGTGGGCTGTCGGATGTGGCGTAAGCGCACTCCCAACCTCCCACCTCCGTCGGGCGCACGCTAACATGTACTTCGGATCCGTGGATCTGGCGCGTGGGCGCCAGATCCACGGATCGGGGAAGCACATCCGAGACATGAGACCAAGGCCGCCTGATTTGGCGACGGAACGGGCCGTTTCTGTACGACAGCGAGAGCCGTCGCTGATCCACGCGCCTTGATCCATGTCTGCGCTTCCTCGACTTCGCGCCACTATCCAGTCCCCCGCACACCCGATCAACTTCCGCCCTCCCCCCTGCTAGGTTGATACTACGCTTCGCGGTGCTCTTCTATGCCATGCCATGCCGTGCTCTACAATGCATCGCGTACCCTTTCGGGATCATTGCCCTGCTCGACATCCGACTGTGCGAGTAGAGATGGGATCTGCGCCATGGTAAGGGATGGGAGGGATGGGGTAGGATGTCAGATATGACGCGAGCGCACCTAGCTTGCCTCCCCCCCGCTGCCGCGCTTTCTGTTGTGGTTCCCTTTTTATCTCCCCCCCCGGGTCGCCCTCGGAGCCGCCACTCCTGCCATGATCGCCGCTGCGGGGCCGAATGTGCGGCAGCGGAAATGTGAGCAGGAACAGCTGCTCGTCGTCCTTCTCCTCCTCGTCCTCGTCCTCCTCTTCCTCCTGCTTCTCCTCCCCCGCATGCTTCCTTCGTTTTCACTTCCACCCACCGTATCCTGGTCCTCTTCCTCCTTTCGGGATTTATGGGGGGGACAGGGGAGGACACCGCGGATCGGGAGAGTAGGAGTAGGAACCAACTGAGTGTGCTGGTTGCACCGATACGCCGCTCAAAGAGATGACCACTGCTGCCGCCTTGCTCGGTCCGCTTTGCTGAAGACTTTGGAAATGGGCCCAACTTTTATTCGGCGGCGAACGAGGGGGGGAAGTGAGAAGGAGAAGGCCTTCTCAGAAGGTTCGGAAATCCCCAGGCCTTCTGAGAAGTTCTTTGAACCTTCTTCGAAGGCCAAAACAACTTCTCAGAGGCGAGAGGGCCTCTGAAAAGTCCCGCCGCCTTCTGAAAAAAGGCTTTTTCCTTCTCACCTCCCCACCTCGCTGGCCGCCGATGTGTACGATCTGAAGGGTCACGGCCTGTGCGGGTGGGGGTGGGGTGATGCAGGGCTTCCCAGCTGCTCATCAGCTGAAGACCCGCGCCTCCCACAGAAACAACAGCTTTGAACGGGGGCAGTCATCGAGGAGACGAGAGGTGTGAGGCCAACCCCCCACCACCACACCACAGGCGGGGCGTTGACCCAAGGAACCCTAAATAAGGAACGAGGCCCCTTTTTCCCATAAGTTCAACCTCGATTTCCTATGGGACCCCCCAGGAAAACCCGAGGCAAACTTTGAAACAATCAACCGAGCCCCTCCCCAACGAAAAGGGTTCCTTCCTCAGCGCCCTGACTGTATTTCCGCCGCCTACGGACGAGGACCACAGGATGCCATCAGCATTCGCCAGGCCAGGGCAGCGGGTGCACAAAAGCACTGGGCAGCAGTGGCCTTGGTGGGTGGCTGGAAGCATTGCGGGCGCTCGCGTCTGCGCTCGATTCGCCTGGAGAGGGGGGCGAGGGCGAGGGCGAGCGCCGATGTCCGCAGCCGCGCCCCCGCTCGCCATCGCTCGGACGTCCATTCCCTGTTTTTTTTTGGGGGGGGGTCGTGCGTGTTTTTTTCGCCAAATGGTCGAGGATGCTCCTCGAAGGTCCTTGTCGAGAAAAAAATGCACACGTCCGAGCGATGCCAAGGCAAAGGGAGGGGGGCGAGGGCGAGGGCGAGCGCCGATGTCCGCAGCCGCGCCCCCGCGCGGCCGCGCGCCGTGAAGGCGTCGGCGGTGGGGCCGGAGCCCCTCACACGATGACGAGCACGCTTCTGGGGTCAGCACGGTGGCCATCCGCCCGCCTCATTGACCGAATGATGCTGCGTCATCGTGTCGGTTGGCTTTCGCACACACGATCAGAACACCAGCACGGGAGGGGAGGGGGAAGAGGTGGTGGGACCCCGTCCTTTTGCCACCCGCGCTTCGCAACCTCTGCCGCATCCTCGGCAACAAGAACATCCAACATGTTACGAAACAATGCCATACGTGCCTTTTCCTCCTCCGAAGATCTGTTCCACCGCGGGCGCAGCACTAGAAGCCTCCTAGATGGGGTCGGAATAGATGGGGTCGGAGGATCGCGCCGCATCGCCGATACATCGGCGATGCATCGGCGTTGCAGTGGCGATGCATCGTCGACGTGAGCGATGCATCGGCGACGTCGACGTGACGCAACTCGGGCCCCACATCGAACCGCATCGGCGCTGCAACGCCGGTGCGGCGCGATCCTCTGACCCAATCCGCTCCGACCCCATCCAGGATTGGGCGCCCGAGTTATCCGGGGTAACTCGGGTCCGGGGTAACGCGGGTTTGGATTCCCGAAAAACGAACCCGAGTTAGCCCTGACCCGAGGTACCCCTGATGATTCGGGGCTCTGGACGCCCGAGTTATCCGGGGTAACTCGGGCCTGGGGTAACTCGGGTTCGGAATCCCGAGAAGCGAACCCGAGTTAGCCCTGACCCGAGTTACCCCTGATGATTCGGGGCTCTGACAGGAGGCCTGGAGAACAAGGCAACGCTCGCGTACCTTTTCCTCCTCGGGAGCTCTGCCCCGCCGCGGGCGCAGCGGCGGCGGCCTGCGCACAAAAAAACGCCCCCCCGGGGTGGGTGGGGGGTGGGGCGAGCTCTGGCACACGGCGCGCGGGCCTATGTGTAAGTCGGGCGTGTCCCCTCTACGAAGGTATTTTGGTCGACAAATAGCACACAGTAAAAACAAACACAGGCTATTTTTTGACTATTTTTTGAGACTATTTTTGACTATTTTGATTATTTGTGACACTTTTTTTGACACTATTTTCTGACAATTTTTGAATACTCCTCCTGTAGAGGGACAGGCCCGACTTGAGCCGATATGCCGCCGCGAGACGCCGCCGCCCGCGGCCTCACTTGCCCTTGAAGACGACGTTCGGGAGCACGAAGACGGCGGAGAAGACGGCGAGGAAGACGATCACCTGAGCGACGGTCGCGGAAGAAGAGAGAACGGCATACGCAGAAACTGTTTGGCGCTCCGCGCGGACTTCTGGGACCTGCGCTTGATCCCCCCTCCCTGGCGCGCGGAGCGCGCCAGGGGCGGCGCCAGAGGCGCCGCTGGGGGGGCCCAGCGCGGATCCAAGAACAATCCGCGCGGAGCGCCAACCAGTTCATGTTCATGGCGTTTTTTCTTCTCCGAGGTCATGAAAGGGTCTTGCCAACAGATCCGCGCTTCCGAGCAAACATTCTGGAGCGGGCGGTGTGGGGCGTTCCTTCGGCCTCCGCGAGCCCTCGCGGGGCCTCGGGACCGTCAAACACCGACTCAGGAGGAGAGACCCGTCCTAAAGGAAGCGGTCCAGACTTCCGGGGCTCGAAGAACACCGCTTACGCCGCTCTCTTGCGCGTCTCTCTTCCTTCTCTGCGCTCTCCCGCGGGACGTGGCGTGGAGAAGGACGCGAGGACAAAAGGAAGATGACAGCGTGAATGTGCGAGAGGAGCGCGTGGTGAAGATGGATCAAGCTACAGCTGGCCCCAGGCCAGAAAAACCTCCCTCAAGCGCACGAGACCATCCGCCGGCTGAAACACACAGAACGTCCAAGGGCATCCTCCCCAGCATGCACGAGAACTTCCAGCAAACAAGAACATCAGGGTTAGATCGGGCATTTCCTCCTACAGGCTGATTTTGAGAAGACAAATGAAAAAAAAACAATCAAAACATATTCAAACATAGTCCAAACATAGTCGAGAAGTCGTCCCCAGACTATTTTTCAACTATTCTTCCTGTACAGGGGCAGGCCCGATTTAACACTACGGTGCCCTCCCCGAATCGGGGATCTTCTGACCCGGGTCAATCCAGACCCGGGTCAGCAGGCAACCAAAAACTGCAGTGCAGGAACAACAAAACTACAGCGCAGGTCTTCGCAAACCCGGGTCAACCAATATGCGCGGCCGCCTCGCGGCCACGAGCGGTTCGCTAACCCGGGTCAGCCAGAGGGGGTCTTCGCAGGATCCTGCAGGATCTGGTGCCCTGGCTGATCCCCGTTTTGGGGCGCCCGAGTTATCCGGGGTAACTCGGGCCCGGGGCAACTCGGGTTCGGATTCCCGAAAAACGAACCCGAGTTACCCCTGATGATTTGGGGCTCTGGACGCCCGAGTTATCCGGGGTAACTCAGGCCCAGGGCAACTCGGGTTCGGATTCCCGAAAAACGAACCCGAGTTAGCCCTGACCCGAGTTACCCTGATGATTCGGGTCTCTGACCGTTTGCACTGACCCCCGTCTCTTAGGCCCCGGCCGAACCGACCATGCCTCGGTCCGGCTGCAGACGACTTGAAGCAGGCCCACCACGGCGGGCCTCGCGACCCCGCAGGGCGCGGGGGCTCGCCCGAGCGACGAAGCCAAAAAGGTCTTACAGCGAGCGGCTTGAGCAAGGAACACTCACTTTTCAGAAGGGGCTCGGTCGTTCCTTAGGTTTGCATGCGTTATTTATCGTTCCTCATGCGTTATTTCTTGGCAAGAGGGGCTTCGTTCCTTGTTTATCGTTCCTTAGGTCAAACCGATGACTGTACGCGAGAAGACACGTGATTTGAGCAGGGACCGACCGTCCCGGCATTGCACGGAATGTTCTTAGAACCTAACCATGTTCTTAGAGCATAAGCCGACGTGCTAAAGCTTATCCTGGCGAAGGACCCAACCATATGCAGTTGTGGGTACCGCGATTGTGAATCTCTTCTTCGGTGAAGCTCCCTATGGGACCACGGAGCGCTGCACTGGGGCCGTCGGTGGAGCTCTCTACAAGGCCACGAAGCGCAGTGCTGGGTGGGTGAAATGCAAAAGTGTGTGTGTGTGTGGACGCATGCGGGAGGTCCCACTGGGGGCTTCGGTGGAGCTCCCTATGGGACCACGAAGCGCTGTACTGGGTGCGTAAAAATGCCAAATTCATGCGTCCCGGACGGTCCCACTGGGGGCTTCGGTGGAGCTCCCTATGGGTCCCCATGAAACGCTGTACTGGGTGGGTGAAAATGCCAAATTCACGCGTCCCGGACGGTCCCATTGGGGGCTTCGGTGGAGCTCCCTATGGGGCCCCACGAAGCGCTGTACTGTGTGGGTAAAGATGCCCAATTCACGTTTCCCGGACGGTCCCACTGCGGGCTTCGGTGGAGTTCCCTATGGGGCCACGATGCGCTGTACTGGGTGGGTAAAAGATGCCAAATTCATGCGTCCCGGATGGTCCCACTGGGGGCTTCGGTGGAGCTCCCTATGGGGCCACGAAGCGCTGTACTGGGTGGGCGAAAAACGCAAAATTCATGCGTCCCGGACGGTCCCACTGGGGGCTTCGGCGGAGCTCCCTATGGGGCCATGAAGCGCTGTACTGAGTGGGTGAAACGCAGGGAGGGGGAAGGAAGGGGAGGGGGGGGCAAGGAAGAAGGAGGAACGCGGGGACCGTCTCTTCAAAACGAGGACCCAACACCACAGGATGGTTGGGAACAAAACAGTCTCAGCCAGAAATGTTCTAAGAACATGTCGTGCAGACCGCAAGAGGTTCTCAGAACATTCTCGGTGGGCCTATCAGCAAGCCAAGACGCTTCGCCACTGCTCGACTAACCCGAAGACCCGAATTTCGGGATGGGGCGGGGTACGGGTTCCAGACGTATTTTTCTATGTTCTCCGACACCCCCCCGCCACTGGGAATGGAGGGCAAATGGGGGCCTGCGGGTTGGGTTGGGGTGGGGTGATTGGGTGGTGAACCACAGCAACTTTACGCCGCAGCTTACTGTCGGACCTCAATCACACGAGACCCTCCGTCGGCCAAAACAAACAGAACATCCAAGGGTACCCTCCCCAGGATGCGCAAACACATCCAACAAACGAGGGTGCGCCGCTGGATCTCCCCACGAGAGGGGGGCGTCCCCGATCCGTCGTCGGGGACCCCCCCCCCTCCCCCACTTCCCTGATCCGTCGTCGGGGACATCCCCCCCCCCCCTCCGCCCCCCTTTCCCCGATCTGTCGTCGGGGAACCCCCCCCCCCTCTTTCAAAGGGGGGGGGGGTTCGACTCCCCCCCCCGACCCCCCTCGCCACGCCGCCCCCTGACTCCGGAACCCGACCCCCGCCACCCCTACCCCTAGTCCTTACCCTAACCCAAACCCCTAATCCTAACCCCAACCACTAACCCCAGCCCCAAAGAGTACTCACTACTCATTACTCACTACACACTACTGACTACTCGCTATCCGCTACTCACTTCTCACTACCCCCTACTCACTACTCACGACTCACTACTCACTATCCACTACTTACTACCCACCACCCACTACTCGCTACTCACTACTCCCTACTCACTACTCACTCCTCCCTACTCACTACTCACCCCTCACTACCCACTACTCAATACTCACTACTCACTAGGCACTACTCCCTACTCCCTACCCCCTACTCGCTAATCACTACTCAGTACCCACTACCCACTATCCACTATTCACTACTAACTACTCATTGCCCACAAATCGCTACTCACTGCCCCTACTCAATACTGACTACACAGTTCTCAGTACTCACTACTCGCTACTCCCATACGCGCTACTCAATACTCACTGCTCACTCCCTGCTACTCACTATTCACTGCTCACTACTTACTACTCCCTACTCACTAGTCACTAAATAGTCTCTAGTCACAACTCACTAGTCACTAGTCACTTCGCACTACTCACCAATCGCTACTCACTACTCACTATTCGCTACCCACTTCTTACTGCTCACTACTCCCTACTCCCTACTCCCTACTCGCTACTCACTACTCACCACTCACTACTCGCTACTCCCTGCTCGTTACTCACTAGTCACTACCCACTAGTCACTACTGACTACTCTCTACTCACTACTCACTACGCCCTACTCGCTCCTCACTATTCACTACTCGCTACTCCCTACTCGCTACTCACTACCCACTGCCACTACCCACTACTCTCTATTCATCACTACGCACTACTCACTACGCACTACGTACTATTGAGTACTCACTATTCACTACTCACTACTCACTACTCACTACTCGCTACTCACCACTCACTACGCACTACTCATTACTCACTACTCACTACTCACTACGCACTACGCACTACACACTACTCACTAATCACTACTCGTCACCCGCTACTCACTACCAACTACTCACTACCCACTATTCATTACTCCGTAGTCCCTACTCAGTACTCACTACTCGCTACTCGCTACTCACTACTCACTACTCACTACCCGCGACTCACTACTCACTTATCAGTACACACTACTCACTATTCACTACTCACTACTCCCAACTCCCTAGTCCCTACTCGCCATTCACTACCGACTACTCACTACCCAATACTCACTACTCACTACGCACTAACTCACTACTCACCACTCCCTACTCCCAACTCCGTACTCCCTACACGAGGGGCGGGGGGGTCCGACCCCCTCCCCCCCCCTTTCCAGCGCCAAGGGGGGGAGGGGGGGGGGCGGGGGAGGGGGGGGGAGGGGTTCTGGACCCCCCCCCCTTTAGTGTATTCAGGGAGATCCACTGGCGCACCTTCCCAGCAAACACGACGAACACCAGAATACCCTCCACGGACCCACTTCGATCTTATACCATAGTCCGACCGTGCCTCCGTCCCAACTGGTTTTCGGGACATAGCTCGGGCCTTCAACGGCCGTTTGAGGCGATCCGGGCACCCCCGGAACGCTCTCGGCGAGGTGCACCTGTTGGAGAGAATCCCGAGGCTGGAATCCTGTCGAGATCCGACACAAATTGGCGGCGCGCAGAGGGGGGTAGGGGGAGGGGGGAAGGCTTCTTAGAAGCACCCTTGCTTCTTAGAAGGCGCGGGCCTTCTCTATAGACGTAAGGCCGAGGCCTTCTAAGAAGCAGGGTGCTTCTAAGAAGCCTTCCCCCCTCCCCCTACCCCCCTCTGCGCGCCGCCAAACAAACTTCCGAAAACCTTGAAGCTCGAACCCCCTCATGCGACCCTCGGTCCGACCGCACGCGGGCCGCCAACGCGGGACGCCACGCTCGGAGACGAGGGCGCCTGCGCGGGACCTCGCGCGGGCAGGCTGCGCGCGGACGTTGGCGCATAGGGGGCAAACAAACCTACAGTCGGGGCGTTGACCTAAGGAACCCTGAATAAGGAACGAGGCCCCTTTTTTCCATAAGTTAACCTTCGAGTTCCTGTCGAAAACGTAAGAGGACAACCTGAGGCAAGCTGTGAAACACTTAAGGAACGCGGAGCCTCTCCCCAACGAAAAGGGTTCCTTCTTCAGGGCCCCGACTGTACCTTGCTTTTGACCACCCTCGCTTCCAAGAGATACCCAGCGATGCCAGATTGCAGCCTGTGCTGGTCAGGCCGCTTGGCGAGGAGGCGCGTGGTGTGGCTTGGTTTTGCCTGGAAGCGAAAGCGGGGTAGGTAATTCACGCTCTGACTCACGGGGGCAGCGTGCGCGCGAGCGTTGGTGAAGACGACCCCGTCCAGGCGGGATGGGGCGGAGGCGGACCCTGCGGCGCGCGCCCCCAGGACGCGCCGGCAGGGCAAGGAAAGACGGGGGGGGGGGCGAGATCCGGGAGCCAGGCTCCTCCTGATCCTCCTCCGACCGTCTCCTCTGATGATTGTCCTCTCCTCCTACCTCCTCCTCCTGCTAATCTTTTTGGTTTTTGCGTTGGACTTCGATCCACGAGGTTGTAGCGTCTGTCATCCAGCTCCTCCTCATCCGCATCCTCCGCCTCCTCCTCCTCCTCCTCCTTCTCCTCCTCCTCCTCCTCCTGCACTCTCTTCGCCCCGAAGGGCCAAGAGACCAGGCTCTGACATGACCGGAGCATTTGAGGGAGACGGGCTGGAGGAAACATCGGCCTGGAATCGGCAGTACATCGCCGATGGACGGGCGATAGGCCCCCACTAGCGAACCCGCACGCTCCTGGGCGGGGTGGGCTTATCGGGCCCCTGCCGGTGATGAGTGGGCGATCGGGGGTCGATCGGGGACGCACTGACACAGGCCAATGCAGACCATGGTCAGTGAGGCCTTGCAAGATCCTGCAACATCCAACAGGATCCTGCAGGATCCCGCACCCCAAACCAGGTTAGTGCGCCCCTGGCCCCGCAGGATCCTGCAAGATCTGGCGCTCTGGCTGACCGCCGATTGCATTGACCCCCGTCCCTTGAGACCCGAGTCGATGCAGGCCGTCCCCGATGGTCTTCGGGTCAAAACACGGGCCTCCAGCGGCCCTTCGGGACGACCCGGGCACCGCTCGGCGAGGCGCAACTGCTGGAGAGCATCATCCCGGGGCCAGAAGGCCGCCCGGGTCCGACGAGAACGCCCGAACATCTCGAATCGCGAGCTTGTCGCCCCCCCCTCAGCGTACACCCTTGGGTCGGGCACGTCCCCCCACAGGCGGACTGCGGGCGAAAAATCAACAACTGCCAAAAAGCACGAAAAGTAGTCCAAAAAAAATAAGGACATCGTCCCCGCACTATTTTTGGACTATTTTTCGACATTCCTCCTGCAGAGGGACTGGCCCAACTGAAGCGCAGACCCCCCGAGCGTTGCTCCCGAGGACGCCGAGCCCACGCGGCGACCCCACCCCTCGGCGGCGCGCTCCGGGAAGGGGGGGGGGGTAGTGAGCAGGGGCGGGCATCCTCCGAAGGCGGCGGGGCTTCTCAGAAGCCCACCGCCTCTCCGAGAAGCCGCCTTTGCCTCAGGATTGTGGGTGCCATGACAATGGGCACTGTGCCAATCCTATCGTTGAATCGAAAGTGTGTTTTGACATGTTTCAAACATGTTTTTTACATGTTGAAAACATGCTTGAAACAATGTTTTAGGCATCTGAAAAGTATTTGGCAGCCTGCTTCCTCTTTATTAATCGACTTCCACAACCTTAGGAGAAGGCCCATAACATTGGGTCGGGTATATCCTCCTACAGGGGGATCTTGGGCGAAAGCCAGAAAGTAGCCAACAAATGTGCAAACGTAGTCAAACATAGTTGCAACAGATTCCCCATATTATTTTTCGACTATCTTTGAACATTCCTCCTGTAGAGGGACAGGCCCGACTTAACCACAAAACTCCTCAAAGGCCCGAGGCCTTCCAAGCCTTCTGAGGAGGCTGATTTTTTCTCGGACGCCTGGTAAATTTTGGGGGCCTAGCTCGGCTCTCCGGTGGCTCTTCGGGACGATCCGGGCACCCCTGGAACCGGGAACGCCCTCGGCGAGGCGCAGCCGCTGGAACGCATCACGAGGCCGGAAAGCCACGGAGAGCCGACGAAAACGCCGTCGAGCCTCGAGCCTCGAGCTTCCCCCCCTGGGTTCGTCACCCAGACTGGCCATCGCTCGGACGTCCGTTCTCTGTGCTCTTTGTCGGTTTCGTGCGTGGTTTTTTTCACCAAATGATCATTAACGGGCGACGAACGTTATAACAGAAACTTCTTCGCTGTCGGGGGCGCCTGCCCCTCGGCGGCTGGAAAGTTTATACCCTTGCGGTGGCACCGTAGGGGTATAAACTTTCCAGCCGCCGAGGGGCAGGCGCCCCCGACAGCGAAAAAGTTTATGTTATACCGTTCGTCGCCCGTTACTGATCAAGGATGCTCCTCGATGGCCCTCGCCGAAGGAAAAATGCACACGTCCGAACGATGCCAACAGATCCGGGAGCCAGGCTCCTCCTGATCCTCCTCCGACCGTCTCCTCTGATGATTGTCCTCTCCTCCTACCTCCTCCTCCTCCTCCTCCTCCCCCTCCTCCTGCTAATCTCTTTGGTTTTTGCGTTGGACTTCAATCCACGAGGTTGTAGCGTCTGTCATCCAGCTCCTCCTCATCCGCCTCCTCCGCCTCCTCCTCCTCCTCCTCCTCCTGCACTCTCTTCGCCCCGAAGGGCCACGAGATATGGCCCTCGCCGAAGGAAAAATGCACACGTCCGAGCGATGCCAAGCGGAGGGCCCGGCGGGCCGCAGAGCCTCTGCGGGCCGCCCGCCCGGCCCGGGCCCCCGCGCCGGCCTCGGAAGGGGCCCTCGCGCGACAGCTGTGCGCCGCGGGAGGGGCGTCAGAGTGAAGGGGCCCCGGGACACACAAATAAAGACACGCAAATTAAAAGATCCCCCATATTTTCCCATGTTTTCTGGGTCTCTGTCTTCCCCCCCACTTCCCATATTTTCCCATATTTTCTAGGGAATCGAGGATTAATTGTGCCTGTGTGTTTCTTCCTCTCCTGACACGCGCGCGCCGCGCGCCAGACGTGCGCCAGATGCGCGCGCGCGCGCCCTCCGCGGCCTCGGAGGGGCCCTCGCCAGGGGGAGCGCCCTGGCCGCGGCCCGAGGGCTCCCTCAGGGGCTCGCCGTCTGCTGAATGGCGGAACTCACCGGGCGGTGGGGTCACTGAGCCGCTCGGGGGGGCCCTCGGAGAGCAGCCGGCAGCGTCTCGGCGGCGCGCCCCCAGGGGCAGGCAGAGGGGTCGGGCCTCTGCAGAGGGCCTCCGAAGGCCTCTGGACTCCTGGGACGCTTTGTGAGTACTCCCCGCAGCCACAGAGGGCTTCACAAGAGGGCGGAGGGCTTCTCAGAAGCCCCGCCGCCTTCTGAGACGGCCCCTCAGCGTGCCGCCGAGGAGAGGAGCCAGCAGCGTCCGCAGCAATGGCCTTCCTCCTCTTCCTCCTCCTCTTCCTCCTCCTCCTCCGAATCCCCCTCGCCCTCGCCCTTTTCCTCCTCCTCCTCCTCCTCCTCTTCCTCCTCCTCCTCGTACCTCCTCCTCCTCCTCTTCCTCCTCCTCCTCCTCCTCCTCTCTTTTCTCCTCCTCCCCCTCCTCCTCCGAAGCCGAGGCGCGCGCGTAGGGCAAGCCCGGCGGCGAGTCCGCGGCGAGGGCGGGCTGCGAGGTGAACGCTGGAAGCGCAAGGCCCGCGGCGGCGGCGGCCGCAGCGGCGCCGGGGGGCGCCGCGGCTGCCTGCGGCGGCGCCGCGGATGGCGCAAGATAGCCTCCGACAGACCTCCAAGAGGCCTCAAGGCAGCCCCAAGATTGCCCAAGATAGCCGAGCATGGCTCAAGATAGCCTCCGTCAGCCCCTAGCCGAGCATGGCTAAAGAGAGCCTCCAAGAGGCCTCAAGAACACCTCAGGCTGGCCGTGTCTGGATGGGCCGGTGAGGATATTTTTTTGGGTCGCGGCCGCGACACAGAGGTCAGGCGGCAAGAGCAAAGTCCGATACGCGAACTAGGCGAAGTAGCTACAACAGGCACAGGCCAGCCGGCCCACTCACACAGCAGGCGCGAAGCTGAAAGGGGGAGCTGACGGCGGACGGCATCCTAAGAGCTCGAGCGCGTGCACAGGACAAAGTGTCACGGAATTCGGTGCTTGCCATGGCACGACCCACGCAGTAGAGACGTGAACCAGGATGGTCAAGTCCGTCGTGCTGGTGAGGATACTTTTTTGATTCGCGGCCCGCAAGGAAAAGTCCAGAGGGCGGTGTGAACGAGGCTGGGGCACAGCGCACGGGAATGCAGATAATTAACAGCTGAGCATGTGCCAGCAGCAGAAAATTAACAACGCTGGACATGTGCCAGCAACTGTAAATGAGAAGAACCAGCCGCTGAGCGTATGCTGGTGAGGATACGCGGAGCGTCAAGAACGTCTTCTCACTGCGGGAAGTGCCCTATTGAAGGACAAACGCCTGAAGATCCTCACGTGCCCACAAACCATTCCTGGGACTTCGACGCCGCGGATCAACCGAACTCTTGCGTCCTGACAATCCCAAAACGCATCGAAACACCATTCCTGGGACTTCAACACCGCGAACCGACGTGAGTCTCCTCCCAAATCGTGCCAGACACTTCTGTGAACTGTAAGACAACTTTGCGCGGCGCTGAGGCGAGAGCCACATGTTGAAAGCGGGCCGCCCTCCATCCTTGAAGCTGTTGCCAATCTCGAACTTCAGGATCATAAGTGGTGAAGGCGTGCCAGCGGAACGCCTGATTCGCCCTACCGACACGCCTGGAAGGGGATGGATGTCGTCGTCAAGCGGTGGCATAAACATCCAGCTGTGCTCAACAACGTCAGTCCAGAAACTCTTATTCAACTAGACAGAGCAAGCGTAACAGAGCACTGGGTGGCAAGAAACAAGTCAACGACGTAGAGCGCGCCAGTCCTGGCTGTCCATGGGGAGGAGGAGGAGGAGAGCGGAGGGTGGAGGGAGGAGGACACCCTAGGATGAGGAGGAGGAGGTGGAGGCGGATGGCGAGGGGGAGGAGGGTGGAGGAGGATGGCGAGGGGCAGGAGGGTGGCAGTGGCGAAGCGACGGGCGCTTGGGGGAGGAAGGAGTGGAGGCACGAGGACGCGCACGAGGGTTGGCGGCCTCCGCGACGCCGCGGGCGGCGGGCACGAAGGCCGCGCCGCAGCCGAGCCAGGCGGCGCCGAGGAGCGCGGCCAGCGCGAGGCAGCTCAAGACCGGGCGGCGGCCGGCGGGCATCCTCCCGGGATGCGAGGGGCTCGCCATCGCTCGGACGTCCATTCCCTGTGTTTTTTCTGGTTTCGTGCGTTGCTTTGTCGCCAAATGACAAGGATGCTCCTCGATGGCCCTCGCCGAAGGAAAAACATGCACACGTCCGAGCGATGCCAGGGAGGCGGGAGGGGGGGGGGGACAGCGAGGAGCTGGAGGAGGGAGTGCGGGCCCCCAGAAGATGCACCAGCACCACCTCCGTTCCCCCTCCCTCCCTCTACCCTTCTCCTCCCCTCCCTCTTTCACGGGACAGGTGGTGTACATGCTTTGGCTCCGTAGGGGAGGGGAAGAAAAGGAGTAGGCAACACGGGCGAGGGCGAGGACAAGGAGGGGAGGGGTGGGGAAGGTGAGGGAGGGAGGGATGTGATGGAGGCGGGAAGTGGGGTGAGAGGGAAACGGCATGGGATGGGATGGAGGGTTGGGGGCATCTCTCAGCATATTCGCTCCCCAACCAATTCCCCCCCCTTTCCCGTCTTCCCAATTGCCTCTCCGCCTCCTCCGCCGCCGCCGCCTCTTCCTCCTGCCCCCCCGTGTGCCCCAACCTTCCCGCCCTCACCCTCATCCCCCCCTCTCCCCATCTCCCTCCCCATCGCCCTCCCCCTCGCCCTCCCCCCATCTCCCCATCCCTCCCGCGGGGGAGTCTTGTGATGCGAGGTCTCTGGACAGCGCTGCAGCACCGCCCCACCCCGTGGCCAGACGGCTGCGTGCGAGCCGCCCACCCGGAGCTGGGCGGCGTGTGGCTTCGCGCCTCCGCAGGGGGGCTACCTGCCAAGCTAGGTCCAATCCGATTCTCACCTTGCCCTCCACAGCTTCCCAGCCCACCTCCCAGCCGCCCCGCCTGCCCCCCACTGTCTGTCACTCTCCCTCCCCCTCCCACTCCCCCTGTTCTTGCTGCTCCCCCCCCCTCTTTTTGCTGCTCCCCCAAACTCCGTCCCTCCCTGCCTCCCTCCCTCTCGTCCCCTCCCGCTGCCATCCACCTTCTGCGTGGAGATCCTTCCAAACTCGACTCCGTGTGGGACCCGTGCGCGAAAAAACAGTGCGAGTCTGCGCGCGCTGCCTGAGCCCAGACGGCCGAAGTAGCAGGGGGATGAGGAGGGTCCAGGATAAGTTATAAGGGAGGAGACGGAGGGGTGGGGTGGGGGCTGGAGGAGAGCAATGGTGATGGTTGATGGTGACTTGTGCGCGCTGCCTAGGCCGGGACAACCGACGCGGGTGCCTTGGATGCGCCTCTCCCCTCCGTCCCCCTCCGAGGATGAATAATCCAGCGTCGAACTGTCCGTTCTGGCCGTGCCGCATCCGTCCCACTTCTGCTCCAAGAACATGAAATACCACTCCATGCACGTACTCCCATTCGGCCTGGACCGCGTAGTTCAGCTCGCCACACGTACACGTATGTGTATATATGTAGACACACACATGTAATCTAAGTATGCGTACGCATACACATACACATATACAATAGAATCATCGCGCGCTTCGCGCGCGCTAACGTTCTACTTACTATGGGGCCAGTTATATAGCGCGCCAGAGGGCATGTCTGGACGATCGGGCCCCTAGCTTGGAAACCCATACGTTGGTGTCTAGTCGCACTGAGGATTGGTTTTCGGGGCAGTCTTGGGGCCTCTTGGAGTCACAACTTACTAACAAGTTTAGGCTCCAGAAAAGAATGACCAAACAGAAGGAGTCCCTTAATTGTTTGACTGGTGTGGTCGTCTTGAATGTCCTGTGTAGGCACTCCAGCGGCCTCTTGGGGCCGTCTTCGGGCCTCTTTATATTGCTGGAAGCCTCCTGGGGGAGCCCAGGGGCCTCTTCGGACCATCCACGCGATTGGACTTGGCAGTGTATGTCGCCCGCATGATTATATCATTTGCATGGCTGGTTTTGGTACGAACCACCCTTCGCGGAGTCTCGACCACCTTTCCCATGGAGCAACCTTCAGAACAAGTGCACCTGACGTGTCGCAGCAGAGCCCAGCGCTTGTCACGAAAAACATGAGCGGTATATTTGATCTCGTCGATTGCTCGGAGGTGCCAGTGCCATCATCTTAAGTGGCACCAGTAGCACGCAACAGAGAACGATACTACTAATATCAAGAGCGACTAGACACGAACGGGTCCACCAATCCCTGTTCAGGGCCACAAGGCTTCGCTGCACACGTTCCTAGCAATTGAAATTGTCAATTATCAGGAACTCCCTTGGCAGCTGGGTATATTAGCTATACACCTTCTATCGGTCGTATTATTCATCAACCCAGACGTGAGATCTGCAGAGGTCACTGGGACTCCGCAGAATTCTACATCTCACACTGTTGTTTCATTCAATGTTTCGGAACGCGCGCGACATGCGTGCGCCCAAAGCATTGGTTTCGCGTCCCCAGGGAAGAGTCGTCTCGACTTGTCTATGCCCCCCAACAACGACTCCATGGCCCCCAGAACATACCCTCTGAACCTCGAGGCTCCCTGGGACAAATTCGCCGGCCCCCTTGTGGGGCCACCAGGCTGTAGGCCGAAGGTTCGCAGTGTCCTGTACAAGTTGCAGCTTCCAGTTTCCACTGTTACAGTTCTGCTTCTTGCTGCTTACTGTTCCTTGTTACAGTTCTGCTTCTTGCTGCTTACTGTTCCTTGTTGATGGACCGCGCGAGGGGGGGAGGCCCAAAACTGGCATTTCTACCACGCCCAAATCGTATTGTCTGAATATTTTTGAAATTCGGTTGCACCCTTCACGCAGATCGGCAGGGTCAGGGTCCAAAAACACACGGGATTTGCAACATTTCTGAAATTCGGCGGTACCCCTCACGCAGATCCGTGGGGTCAGGGTCCAAAAACATACTGATTTGTCACATTTCCCGAATTCGGTGACACCCCTCACGCAGATCGGCGGGGTCAGGACCCAAAAACACCTATAGGATTTGCAACATTTCTGAAATTCGGTGGCACCCCTCACGCACATCGGCGCGGTCAGGGTCCAAAACACACACGGGATTTGCCACATTTCTAAAATTCGGTGGCACCCCTCACGCACATCGGCGGGGTCAGGGTCCAAAAACACACGGGATTTGCAACATTTCTGAAATTCGGCGGCACCCCTCACGCAGATCGGCAGGGTCAGGGTCCAAAAACATACGGGATTTGCAACACTTCTGAAATCCGGCGGCACCCCGCATGCAGATCGGCGGGGTTAGGGTGCAAAAACACAGAGGCTTTGCCACATTTCTAAAATTCGGTGGCACCCCTCACGCAGATCGGCGGGGTCAGGGTCCAAAAACACACGGGATTTGCAACATTTCTGAAATTCGGCGGCACCCCTCACGCAGATCCGTGGGGTCAGGGTCCAAAAACACAAAGGATTTGCCACATTTCCCGAATTCGGCGGCACCCCTCACGCAGATCCCTAGGGTCAGGGTCGTAAAACAAACAAGTCCCGACACTGCTTCACGGCGAAGCCAAAGCCTCATGACTTCGCTCTTCCATGTCCCATTCTCCGAGACTGGGGGCCGGCGGCAGGGGGCGAGGATCACACATGCGAAGGGTTAGCGCTCCCGCGGCCACGATCCCTCGCAGAATGCAGTAGCACGCGCTCCCGACGTCACGACAAGGCCTGGCTCCGCGCTCACAGGGCCACAGCGGCACCCGTTCCCCCCCTCCCAAACCGCAGCCCCTCCGAAATCCACCGAAGCTCCGCGGGCACTGTGAACGGAGTGTCCTCCAAACCGACCCTAGAGGGTCCCAACCGTAAGGGAGCCATCACACGGCCTTCGAGATCCTCAAGAGAGCTCCAAGGCAACCCATAGAGCCTCCCAAGTCGCACTCCAAAGTCGCACAGATGGCCTAAGAGGCCCCCTCAGACGGCCCAAGAACCCCGATGAGCCCGCGCCAGAAGATGACCCAAAGCGTCCCAGCAAGCCCCAAGAACCCCCCAACAACTCCCAAGCGCCCCCCCCAACGGCGCCGAAGAGACCCCGATGATGCTTACATCCTGGGAGCGCGTAATACTCCCTCTCACGTGCCCATTGCGCCGTGCATCCACAACCCAATCACGTTGGCGGGAAAAACATAACATCACCAGATCCGCCACCCGCTATGGTCTTGCCACAAGGGTGCACGGCGTGCCGAACGCCTGGCAAATAGTTGGTTCCCTCGTTGGTCAACTCGCCTCCAAGACGGCCCAGATGGTCACAGATGGCCCCCAATATGCCTCCAAGACGGCCGAGAAGGCCCCGAGAGAGCATACCATGGCGCCAACATGTCTTTAAGACGGCCCAATATGCACCCGCGATGGCCAAAGATGGCCTCAAGATGGCCCAATACGGCC